GTGATAGTGCCCTGGGCAGAGGCTTGGAGACACTGTGTGAGAAGCAGGAGTGGCACAATGGGCTGCAAACAGGCTGGGCCAGGGACCAAACCACAGCCTGTCCCCGTGTGCCAGGATAGGGCCCTGAGTGAATGGACCAGCTCTGTGATAGCCTGGGAGGAGGCACAATTCCATGATAGTGCTCGAGTGCACTGACATCTCACAGCCATGATAATCCTTCAGTGAAATAAGAAGAGAAAGAACCCGTCAAAGCCCCATCTGTGAGTCAGGGGCCTGCGCCCAGGAAGAGATTACGGAGGGCAGGAGATAATACAGTTAATGCTGCCTGTGGCTTATGGGGAGCTTTGTGTGCAGTATCTGGGTGGACTGATGCTTTGTCATGACCTTGAGTCACCAGGCTTAGGACATTTTAAAAGTTGCATTTTCAGAACCATTATTACTTTTCTGCATTTTACCGTGCTTTGCAATGCTCTGCTGATCTTGAAGTGTGAGTAACCACCTCTGGAGAGAGAATCCCTCAGTGCACAGGCAGTGTCTAATACCCAAAATGCATTGGCCAATAAAGGGCCTTCAGTCACAAAACTGTGACAATAGGGCCTCTTCATGTGTAGGAGCTGACCCAGTGTTTAGTTAGCCAAGCCCAGACAAAACCTCAGCAATTGCTATTCTTTATAAACAATTGCCATTTGTGTGCAGCTTTAACGAGCCATCTGGGCCTGCCTTATGAGGACAGGACAGATCCTGGGTTTGGTGCCAACCTTAAGGGTGCCCCGGGCAGGGCTGGGGCAGTTCAGACAGACATACCTGGGAGGTGGCAGCCTGCAGTGAAGAAAAAACTCCAAATGCCTACAGACCAAAGAATTAGGAGGAAATTGTGCCTGGCTTGACAGTAAGGTTAAAGGTAAAATAAAGGTCTAGGAAAAAAATTGTGATTGATTGACAATCTGAATAAGAAGGATTTTCTGGCGAGTGGATTCTGCTCTTACCTGGGGAAGGCCAGTTAGATGTCTTGCTGATGGGCACTCCTAGTGACCTTGAGTCACTTATCCAAGGCTTTTCTGTCTTGTCTGTGAATGAATGGATATTACTCTGGATATTACTGTTTCTCAAGGTGCATGGAGAAAGAATGCATATAATAATGTTCTGTGGTAGACAAGCCATAGGTTCAGATACCTGGGAGTTACTGTAGGCAGTTTTCATAATGGTCTAGAATGTCACAGTGATTGCCTGTGCCACTGGCATTGTCCTGCACGCTCCACATTCATGTTGCAAATCATTTCCTTCTGTTTTCTGCAGAGAAAATCTTCATCCGTGTGATTGATCCCTTCACTATAAAGCCCCTGGATAAGAAGACAATACTTGAAAGTGCAAGAGCGACCAAGGGCAGAATCATCACTGTTGAGGACCACTACCATGAAGGTGAGCAGGGTCCAGGGGGTCACAGCCCTCAGGGGGACTGGAAGCTCCCGTCTTCTGACCCAGCAGAGGAGTAGGGCACCTGATGCTCTTGTTCCATTAAGGCAAAAGAGAGATTTTAGCCTTTTTTGTTGCTGTTAGGATTATAAAGTGACACTGAGGGTTGAAAGTTTCCTCAGATGCAATGGGTTAATCAGGGCTGCCTTTCTGATTACCTCGGCCTTGTGTGCCCTTCTGTGCTTGGTCCAAGTGCAGTCTGGATTCATTTGTGCCCGGTGAAATTGTAAATTCCTGCTGCGCTGCAGGGGCTCTGCACAGGAGTGTTCTCTGAATGGCTGTACAGCAGCTGCTCTGCAGGAGTGAAATTGCAGGAGAGACCATTGCTGTGCAGTCTTCTTAAGTATTCCATGTGTCCAAAAGCCTGGCTCCAGGTTGCCTGAAATCAGATGGTTTTGGCAGTTTGTGCAGTCCCTCTGGGGTAAATTCCTCCCTCTTTCTTCTCTGCTGTTGTAGATATCTACTAACAGAAATCAGTAGATATAATTATGATAATATTGCTCACCCTACTTTAAGGAGAGCATCACTCTTGCCAGGTACCTGAAGTGAGCTGGATCTACCATAAGTGCTGGATACACCATACTTTTGTTGCAGACTCTGGATGGTGATAGGTCACTGGACCTCATAATTTTCAAGCTTAGTGTTCAACTCTGGACAAGTATTATACAGCAGATTTGCAAGATGGCAAAATCATGACACTGTGAGGTGCTGAACAGGCTATTTAAGCTGGCACAGTGCTCTCTGGGGCAGGCAGGGCAGGGCAGGTGTACGAGCATCAGAACCCTGAGTGTGTTGCAGGCACCATCAGGCTGATCCTTCTTACCAGCTGATCTTTCCAGCTGCCCAGCAGAGGTGCCCCTGGCTGCAGGCTCAGTTCCCACCATGCCCAAGCTGTGGGAAGCCCTCTGATTCCAGATACACCCTGACTGAAGGGCAGCACCAGGGTCTCTCTCCTACCAGTCCCAGAGCAGATGCTTTGGACACAAGTCCCATGTTTTCTTCCTCCCTAGTACTCTTGCTTCCAGTGTCTCTCCTGCCTGCACGCAGTTCCCGTTGCATCCTTTATCCCTGTGAGTGATAGTGACTCAGTGTGAGCTGAGCTCTGAGCAAAGGTTGTGAGCATGTTACATAACCAGAGAGGTGCCCAGCAGCACGTACAGCACTGGGAGGAGATGGAGCTCTGAAATGCTGCTGAGATGGGTTGGAATTTCAGCACGTTAAGTACAATGGTAAATACTCTTCAGTCTAAATGTATTTTTAAACCCATCCCTCGGCTGCTGCCGAGGTGCTGAGAGCTTGTTGACAGTCCTGTGCCCTTGAGAGGCAGGTGTTTCTGGCTGCTGATTGGGAAGCACTTCAGAAATGTCAGGCTGCCTGTCCTCGGAATGCCTTTGATACAGGGAAAGGTGTTCATTTCACACGTGGCCAACTGGGACACAAGTGATTGGTGTTTTCATAAGCCTGGGGACCGAGGCTGTGCCTTGCAGGGCCCTTTGGTGAGGCACACACAGAGTTTCCTGTGTGTTCCCTGCTCGGACGCTCCGGTCCAGGCTGTGTGTGCCTCTCTCCGCAGGTGGCATCGGCGAGGCCGTGTGTGCTGCGGTGGTGGGCGAGCCCGGCGTCACCGTGAGCCGCCTGGCCGTGTCCCAGGTGCCCCGCAGCGGGAAGCCAGCGGAGCTGCTGAGGATGTTTGGCATCGACAAGGATGCCATCATGCAGGCGGTGAGGGCGGCCGTGTCCAAGTCTAGGAACGCCGAGTAGTTCGAAGCATCTCTTGCTGTGTAACGGAAGAGCTTGTTCGGAGGTGCTGTCAGCTCAAGGCAGGCAAAGGTGCTTTATGTAGAGAGTTCTAATAAAAATACCAGCTTAAAAAACCTCCTGGGCTTTCATCTCTTTTTTTTTTCTCTGTGGGGTTTGGTGGGGTAACAGCTGTGTTTTCAGTCCCTCCTCTCTGTGCTGCCCCCCAGCCATTTAAATCCAAAGGCAAGGAGGAAGTACCTGATGTGCTGGGAAAGTGAGGAAGCAAAGGAGGGGTGAGGGCCAGCAGAGCCCTGGGAATGAGCAGTGAGCCCTGGGCTCAGGGAGGATGTGCTGAAGGGTAGTGCAGTGAGCACAAGCTCATGAAGGAGGTTGAAACTTTTCATAGGAACTTGTATTTTTGAGTGCTTGGCCAGTGCTGCAGCAAGAGCGATGCTGAGATGGACTACAGGAGGATCTGGAAGAAGAGCAGGAAATTCCCAGGTACCCACGAGGAAGCAACTGAATGTGTAAGTTGCTTTTTGTCTATCGAACTGACTTTTCTCAGGTGAGCTACTCTAAGCTGGCTGAGCTTTTCATCTTGCATGGTGGGATGCACTGGGTCATTTCTTAAATGTTTTGTTGTTTTTAAACATTTGCTTGTTTTACCCTTAAGCTTCTGTTAAAAAAAAAAAATTAAAAACTCATTGTTGACTGCAGAGTACTGAATTGGAAACATTTAGTACTGAAATATGTTTCTTATCCTGACTATTCTACAAAATGCCTTTTAGAAAGATGTTACACAGCAGAGAACACTAAAAAAGCCTTTTTCATCAGAGCAGGGTGACTCTGTGTAGTTCTCAGTTCACCCAAAAGCCATTTGCTGTTGACAAGGCTACATTGGTCTGAGCAAGGCTTTATTTGCAGACTAACACAAAATATACAGTATTTTAGCATGACAGAATATTTCTACAAAGACATGGAAGTAGTACATGTATATGAGAATATAAGTGTTATGAAATAACTGGTATTCATCTTTGCACAATTTAGCCCCTGGGTTGTGGGGTGGGTGCTGTGCTGTGTTGGTGCAGGCCTGGGTGCAACTGTTGGTGTTTCTGGCAGTGCAGGTGGAACTGCAGGACCAAGTGATTGATGCTTAAAATTAAGCACAGCTAAACAGTAATCAAATTTTCTGAGCAAGGCTTGAAATTGTTCATCTAAACCTCTGGGCTATTTGGGTTAATGGGTTTCAGATCTACATTTCCTTACAGTTCCATGTTTTATGGCTTTTTCTGTTCAATTTGTTGCCTTCGTCACTCTATGGGTATGAAGACCTTATATTTTTACTAAAAAATTTAAAGGTACTCCTTTTGTCTGCCTATGATTGCATTAGCCCTACACACAGAATGTGTAACAAGGCCTATAAAATGGAAGGGATGCCAGAGATCCACTTTATTCTACTCAAACATTGGGGGATGAGTCAAATCAAGCCCTTTATTTTTTCCCTCAGGAGAAGAGATGAAATTTGCTGCTGTTAATAATCTCATTACTGCACCATTATGTCAGTGCATGTAATATCTCCCCAGCTCTCCCCGGGTGCAGTCCTTGCCCGCCCACAGCTCCCAGTTCTGCCACAGTTAATCTGCCTCAGCTCTGCTGCACCGCTGGGGCTCAGCTGGGAGAGCAGCACCACGAGGTGCCTCTGGGGCTGCCAGGATTCCTCCTGAAACATCCAGAGCCTAATCCAGAACCAGCACAGGACACTGGTTTTGGATGCACCACAGGCAGCGTCACATGGAGAATGTGTTCATGTTTAATGGAATTAAGGCAATGACAGTCTAGATGTTGGTTTGTGTTTGAGCTCTGCTGAGCCACAAACCTCTTCAGAAGCAAGAGTGGGCCCTGTACCCGTGTCAGGTTTATTTTTGAGGGGAAGGAGTGATGTTTTTCAGTGGTTTGACGTTTCAGTATTTGACATTGGCCATTCAGTTTTTAGATTCACCTCATAAAGCAGCTCTTTTAGTACCGAGAATTCAGGGTTTGTGGGACTTGCCTGAAACACTCCTCCTAGGCAGCTTTCCTCACACCTGTGAGATGAAGAAAAAGACAGCTGTCACAACTGCTGTGTTCAAACTGTCCTGTATCCATGCAGCTTTCCAGCATTCTTCATGTTTCCTGTCCATGAATATGGATAAACATGAGCCAGGAGTCTGTTTGAAGACCCAACTTGCAAAACCTCCCTGGACTCATCCAGATTTTATTTGAGCTACAGAATTCTTATGCAGACACTGCCAGTAGTTAATATTCCATACAGGGGTATTAAAAATGTGAAAATGCTCTGCCCCAGGGAAAGAGTCAAAACCAATCCATTTTCAAACCCAAGCAGCTGTAATGAACTGTAGTAAAATATTTCTTTTTTTTTAACTAAAGAAATAAGATTGGAAATTGTAGTTTAGAGAACTTGATCTTAATACTTGACCAAACCAAAGTACCCAGGAAGGTCTAGGGAAGACACACACTGTCAGTAAAAAGAGCACTGTTACCTCTTGGCCTGAATTTGTCAATCAGGGGAACAAAGCTGTCGAGGACGCTCCGAATTCGATACACTGGTTATGAAAACAAACACGTTTACATAAAAAATGAGGAAAATGGCAAAACCCAAATACTGACACTTGTTTAAACAGACACTTCTGTAATACCATTAATCACAAAGTAATGACCAGTAATGACTGATTCCTGAGAGAACCACCCCCAACCCAGTGAAATGATGGCATGAGGTTACAGAGGATGTTAAAGGTTCCTGGCTGGGGAGCCTGAACTGGCTGCTGTTTGCACCTCTGTTCTGCCATCCCTGGGGATTGCTAAAATGCTTGCTGCCATCCAGGTTCTGCTGGGAGCTCATCCTCAGTCCCAGGGGAATGGATGGCAGCCCGAGTGAGCAGCATCTTATCGAGTGGATCTGGGAAGACTCGGCCTTGCTGCTAAAATTACCCGTTGTCATGGCAACACAGCATTCGGCCATTGCTGCAGAAAGAGGTGACTCAGGGTCTTGTGAGCACTGAGAAGGAAAAATGAGTCAACTTCTGCCTTCAGGGGCACCAAGGCTGCTTGTCTGCAGCCCCACTGTGACTGTGGAGGGGATGTTGGGGGAAAGTTCCGTGGGGAGTTAGGGAATCTCAGCCCCACAGGCCTGAGTGGTGACTCTGTGACCTTGTGCTAAAGTGCAGGGACAGAGCTGCTGCTGCTGCAGGGACACTTACCTAGACCGAAGTATATCCCAGTGGTTTCCAGGGAAGCAAATGTGATTAAACCAATTCCAAGAGAAATAGTCCAATCTAAGGCAAAAAAATAAATGTTGGCTTTGTTCATTTTCCTAGAGTTCAACAATTTATCCTTTTATTGAATCTTGCCTTACCTTGGTGGTAGTAGTAGCAAACTAGTAAAGCTCCAATTGCAAAGCAAAGAATGACAAAATGAAAGAATTCATCTGAAATTGAGAAGGAAGATTAGGTCACAACTGTGTCTGTGGCCATCTGGAAAGCACCTTCAGGTCCAGGGTATCCCTCAGGGAATAGTCTCGTGCCCTAGGACCAACTGCACAGTGGACCTGCACACAAGGTGTTGGGAGAAGCCTTGATGATTTTCATCAGGAAGTCTTGATGCATTTCAACAAAGTAGTCATGTCAGAAAAATAAAGGTTTTTTGAACCAGAGATCTTATTCTTGGACTAGACTAAGGTTCAACAGGTTTGTCATCAAGTCAATTAAAAAAAAAAGGAAATTAAAAAAATTACCATCCTTCCGTATGCCCATCCACCGAACTGCCCACTGAGTGTGGGGAGTGCTCTGGTTCTCATATGCTGCAAAAAAGAAATGTCTTTTATTGCCATGGAACTCAGAAATTAGGGAGTTTGAGGTTTATTTCCCTTTTTTGTATCTGAAATAGATTCTCAGAGCAGAATGTGTATAAAACTGTTTGTTTAAATAAAAGATCTGTGAGCCTTTCAGAAAGATCAAATTAGCAATGTTAAAATCACTCTAAAGAATAAATTTAAATTAAAATAAATTTAAAAACAAAAGTCTAACCAGATGGCTGCATTAACAATACTGAATTGTTTTAAAGCACTTTAGGTCTTTTCTGTCTCTTCTGGGACAATCCATAGTCTCAGAATTACAGTGGGGGAATAAAGCTATTGGTACAAGGGAGCTTCAGTTTGATTCCTGGGTGCTCTGCACAACCACAGCTACAAGAATACAAGATAAACTTCTGTTTGCTGTACTTACCATCTGCAATTGTATCTTCTTTTCTGGTGATCTCTGAAAAGCAATATAGTGTTGTTATTTGTGGTGCTAAAAATACCAATTAAGAGTTTCTCACTATTGTTAGCACTAACAAGGACAGCGAGGAGTCACCTATCTGGTGACTCAGTATAGACAGAGCAGTACTTGAAAGTGCCAGGAAATAAAGGGGGTTAAAAGGCCCAAGAAAAGATAACAACAAATGATTATTCACCGTGGTCCCGGTGTCTCTGAAATAGCTGGGCAGTAGATCAGTGGCCTCCATGGTAATACACAGTTGCTAAAAGTGAAACTAAACCCAGGCAGAGCTGGGATCACGAGCTGGAAATGTGTGTGACCTGAACCTGCCCAGCACAGCAGACACAGTGTCCTGCACTAGAGAAACATTTTCAGTCTGGGGTATTGAACTAATCTAGAACTGAAGCAACAAAGGCCGGGGCAAGTGGTAGAGAGGCCAAACATCAGCTGGAAAAGTACTGGAACCCTCTTTCTGCACGTGGCAATGTGGGGAGAGTATGGTGCTGCAGCCTATTCTCTGCCCTGGTGTTCCGTGGAGCTCCCTGGGGACAGGGAACTCAAAAACCTCCTCAAGGGGTTATGCTGCAATTTATATCTTCTCTACTGCACAGAAGAGGAGTTAAGCAGGTGTCCCCTCAAAAAGGCCACTCCTCTGGGCTGTCACTCCCAACTCATGCATGTGGCCTCAGCCTGGATGCAGGAGGAGTGAGGTCAGCAAAGCAATTAAGCCACTGGGCTTTTTACATCCATTCTGCTGCTGCACAGCAGTGCCTGCTAAGAGGAAATGTGCCTTCAGACTGGCTGATGCCCACGCAGCCCTCTCAGCCAGCACTGTTCTGTTGCTTGTCATCTGGCTTTCACCTGGCACCTCCTGCTGGGAATGCTCTGAGTTAGGGCAGGAGCTTTCTGCAACAGAATGTCTGCACCATGCCCAGGTCTAACTGGACACCAATAGATTTACAGCCAGGGATTATTTTTTGGTGTATCAGCAGGTCAGTAAGAAGATACTACAGCTCTAAACATCCTTCCAGCAGGAGGAGGTTACCTGGGAATGCTTACCTGAATCTCTGTAGGGAACCATCTCTGCTGGTGTGCCTAAAACATGATGTAAAGGGGATGTAGGTTAATACCTGCAGTGAGTCTCCCCTTAAATCTCCTAATGTCAATTTAAATGAGCTGCTCTTACATCTAGGCTGAGCTCAGTTTAAGACGTAAGTTAAAATATTAAAGCCTTGCATTTTTTACATCCATAATTCTTTACCTTGAGTATCTTCATCCGTGGATTCATGGGATGAATTTTCAGCCTTTTGTTCCTCCTGTGAAAGTACAAGATTGCTTTCCAGTCTCTTCAGGAGTTTCAACTTTTCATCTGTTATATATATAAAGAAAAAAACATTATCAATGACTATGTTTTCTCTCTTTTACACAGTGACAGATTTCACAATGCTTTCATAAGGTTGCCTGACAGAAAATCAGGTCCTTAGTCTTACTTCAGCTGTATTTTTTGCACACAAGGAGTAGTACAAAGTAGTACACACATGAAAGCATCATACACACTACAGTTTAGACTTTCTTAAATGGTTGTGGTAGATGCCTAAAGTTTCATATTCTGGCCTTTAATTTACTCATGTTGTTATCCCTGTGCAAATTCCCACTCCCTGAAGCAACAGCAATTGCAGCTGAACGATGCTTTAGCAGGAGAAGAGCGGCTCACCCTTCCCTGGGCTACTTGTGCCATCACCCCGTGACTGCTGCGGGCTCCCTGTGCCGATGCCGCGGTTCCAGCACCCTCTCGTGGCACAGGAGCACATCCCTCAAAGCCAGATCACCAGGGGAGGCACCTGCAGGATGCTGAAGTGCAGGTGAACGCTTACAGCCTCACATCCCGCTCAGGGCTGAGGGCTGGGGGTCTGAGCACTGCTCCATTACCAGGGGCAATATTTGGGCACAGAAAGGTAGATGTGATTCCTTCCCCCTGGCTGCTCAGGCTGCTCACTGCACAAGGGCAGGAGCGTCCTCCTGTGACAAACAGTCCTGCTCAGACAGATGACCAATGCTGGGCTGTGCTCCAGGGTGGGAGGTCTTTCCCCTTCAGGGACATGTTTGATGAAGGCAGAAACAGAAACAGGATGTCCTTAAGGATCTCCAGTTAAATTCAAGGTCATCTTAAGTGAGTGCAGCTCTGTCATCTATGAAAGACAATTAATGACTTTATGGACCCTGTGGAACTGCCCTTAGTTTCTTATTGCATAACCAGGCAAATCAGAAGTGCAGTGGAATCTATTTGTACCCTGTTGCCAGATTCAGCATCCTGAGTGCCATCCTCTAGCCATTCCTTCTAGTTTCACTACATGTGCTGCCAGGCCTATTTGTAAAAATACTTTCATTGCCTCAGCTCTGATTTCTTACCACTCTTAAGAGCTCAGAGGAGTTCTGGGTGTCCTCAATCTAGCCAGATGGGAAATCTGGGGCACCATGGCAAGTCAGAGAAATATCTCTGGCAGCATCATCCCAGGACGTCCTCTCCCTAAACACACAGAGTTTTTTTCTCCAGAAGAAACCAATTCAAACTACAGTAAAATACTATCTTCGGCTCCCATTACCACCATACATAGCTGCCTTTCCTGAGCAGTACTTGTAGACATTTCAGTTGGTCACTAACAATCACTTCCAAGCACATATCAGGGTTTTCAAGCTGCTGCCAAGTGCCCCTGGCACTGCAGTAACAAAATAGCTGACAGGCAGGCAGGGAGGACTCACCCTTTCCCTTGGAGCTGGGCAGCTGCCTGTATCCAGCTGGGTTGGATGCCTTCAGCAAGAGGTAAAGAACAGCCATTGCCCTGACTCCTTTCTTCTCTATGGCTCTCAGGCAGGCAGCACAGCCCCCAGGCAGGACATCGCAGCTGTTGAGGAGCTGAAACAAAAGTAAGTCCTTCCAATCAAACACAGCCTGGAAAACCCACACCCTGACCTACAAATGAACTTATCCTGTCTGTGGGGAATTTACCCTCCTGCCCCTACCATACAAGTGGGAAATCAGGAACAAAAAGTGAAGCCGAAGATGGAAAGAGAAGGTAAACTCAGAGTAGAGCCATCAGCTGGGAACAGAAAGCATGGTGGGCAATATTTAACTATTTTAAGAGCTGGAGAAATACAAGTACAGGGTCTGAAAATGGACACGCAATCTCTGCAGTACCTTATAGCAAAATGTCACTAACAGTGGTCCTGCCTAGAAAATAATGAGCTGAACTGATCCTGAGGAATTTATACAAAGCCAGTTATTTTGTACATGGAGAGTAATGAAGTAAAAAACAGTGTGCTGAACTTCATTTCTCTAAATGCCCTTTTAAACCTTTTAGCATATTTTAGCAAATCAGATGATTGGACTATACATTTTCTCTCCCCAGAGCATAGTAGGAAAATACAAAAGTATATAACAAGGATACACATTCCTTCAGTAACTTACATTGTTCTTTTCTTCAGTATTCAGGATAGGAGGGTCAGTGGTGGCTAAACATTTTACAAGTGATTCCCAAAAGGACTGGTTCGTTTTCTCGTGATTCTCCAAGTAATTGGCATCAGCAGTAAAAACCCTCTGGAATATGTCTGGGAATAAAAACAAGCCTATGACTGTGCAGCAGCAGAGGTGGGCTGCATGGCAGTGTTTCTGTGCTGCTCAGTGGAGGTGTGGTGACAGACATCAGGCTCTAACATGTTGCCCAACACCAGCACATAGTAAAGAGAGTAGTGCTTTATTGTATAATGCATCTTGGTCTGCCAGAAAACAGTAGGAGAATGTCCATACAAACAACTGATGTCCCTATGATGCCCCTGTCTCAGTTAGAGAAACAGGGCATGTGTTTCCAAAGCATTCCTTGCTATTAAATGGGTGCTTATTCTGACCACACTATTTTACAGGCAGGCACAAAGACCCCAAGGGATGGGTACCAGGGTACTGGGATTGCTCATCAGGCATTTGATGTGCAGCAAAGTCTCCTTCATGCATCTAAATTCCCACTGTCACACGCCCAAGGCCTGACAGAAGTGTGTGGAAGAGTTGGGAATTGACTGATGATCTCTCCTTTACAAGTGAGGGGATGGATGGAGTGTGTTTTCAGAGGAAGCAAATTTCACTGAGTCATGACCACCCTGGCAAACACTGCTGAGGAGTGTGAACGAGCTGAAGCTTTGATCTTTGCGTGCTCCCCTCACCTTGCTGCTCTTCAGTAAGATCTGGGACCGGGACATTCAAGTCCTCCATTGCTGTGCCTGTTCAAAAGGGGAGAAAAAGCATATCAGAATCACATCACTGACCTACCCTCATTTTCTGTCTTATGTTTGACTTTCTGCAAACATGGCATGTATCTCTAGGCCCTTCAGCTGTTAAATCACTTCTCTGTTGCAATGGGAGTTTCACATCATGATTCATTTGCCCTGCTGGGACCCAATTCTTGATTCCTCTGAGTGAGTCCTGCTGGGCTGGCCTTTGGTTATTAGGAAAGAACAAAAGTCTAATCATCATGAGTAAAACAGAAAGAAGTTGGACTTGATCATTCACATTGTTGTTTCTTACAGCTACCAAGGTGTCTAATTAACTCTTTACCACACATGTGAGTAACTTAACAGGTACTGTTCCATTCACAAAACAGAATGATTATTCTGTACTTTTGATATCTGAATACTTAAAATGTATTGACCAGAGAGAATAGTTCACAGGAAAGTCCCACAAGACTTTGAATTTGTCTCACAGAAGACTTTGATGCTTCAACATCTGTTCTTCCCAAGTTGTTACGACAAGGACATTTCCATTAACTTTAGCTTTATGCCTACTGTGGTCCAGGCATCCCATACTGATCCTTCTCCCCTCATGCAACATTTCAACTACTCCACTATTGTACTGAGAGATGCAGAAGAAGATGTTCAGGGAGCCTGAAGCACAGTTTCCACTATGCAGGGTGCAACAGGAAAGCAGTTTACATGTCCATGCTTTTTCTTACAATATGACTTCTGTATCCATTCAACAAAACACTTCCAATCAAGTGGTTTGAAAACTAAGTATTTCTTTTAAATATTCCAGAGGGAAACCTGTTTTTATTCCTACAGGCACTTTTTCAGTTCTCTAGAGACCATCATATCAGTCAAAAAAATATTCTAATACAAACCCCCAAGCAGGTCAGGTTTTATCTTCAGAAGGGTAGAGTAACACACAAGCAAACATTCAAACAGAACCGTCTTTTAGGGCACCAGTTCTCAGACAGAGGAAATTAGACACAAACAGACCCCAAAGTAGCTGTAAAACCCATCTCTCCTTTGGGACCAGGGTCAAGATCCCACATTTTCAGTATGTTGGTAATTCCTTTCCTAGGCTGCAAGTGCTCTTCAAGTGATGAGGTCCTTAGTTTTAAACTCCTTTCAGCCACTGTTTAGGCTCTGAGAAAATTACATAAACTCTTTAACCACTTCTAAAGGCTGAGCCCAGAAAACTGCTTACCTGCCTCTGAGGTGTACTGTGAGGAAACACTTTGAAATTATTTCCGATGACGAGTCCATGCAAAAGCTCTACCATGACAGATAATCCCTTTGCCTGACTTACACCCAGCCTTTGCTGCTGTGGCTGTGGCAGCAGCACTGGGAGCCTGTGAGCACCTGACAGAGAATGCAGGAAATGCATCTGTCCCTCTGCCGGGTCAGCAACAGCTGATGTTGAAATGCAGGAACCCAGCACACCACACCCCACACCCTGGCCAGACTCGTTCTTGGCTGTACAGTAAAGAGTGCCAGTTCTGGGCAGTTTTGTATCTCCACTTAGGATTTCTGCCCTTTTCAATTTCTTTCTTGCCTTCCTATTTGCTCAGTTTAAACCTTGCAACAGTGTTTGCTTATTTAAGTTAAATTCTTTAGGCCTCTTTCTGGATCACATGGTTGAAATACCAGACCTAAAGGAACAAAAGTACTTAAAATATAAACATTTCTTTTCTGACTTACGAATTCTATTTCATAAAATGATTTACAAATATCCACAGATTTTATTGTTCGGTGAAATTCAGTAGGTTTGTCTTCGGGGTTCCTGATGCACTTATGCATCCCGCTATGATATGGCCTGGATGCCCAGGAGGGTTCAGGAGCAGGCA